CGCCCCTCGCCCCCCCCCTTCTCTTCACCGCCGCCCCCTTCTCTGGCCCTGGAAGGGGCTTCCGCTCCTCCCCAGCCCGGCAGGCTCCCGAAGCCGCACTGCAGCCGCGACGCCGAGAGCTTTTTATTTCTCATTTCTCAAGTCCAGGGTCTGGCTTCCCTTTTCTTCCTGTCAGGTCTACTTCCTCCTCCGCCCCAGGGCCGGGTCTGCCCTACTGCTTGTCATCTGTCAGGCCTCACTTCCTGGACTCCTCCCTTCACCCCTGAGCCGGCTGGGTTTCCAAATGCTGCTGATTTCGTGTGCCTCAGAGTGGGAGTAAAAATGGATGCTGGTCTGGTTTCCCTTAATTTCTGACACCCTGTCTGGTAGATTTATCACCATCATGGTCTCCGTTTTAGGAAAAAGGCGGTTCAGGAGCTTGTGATTATTCACAGGGGACCCTCCACAAACCTTACTGCGCACCTGCTGCATGGGAGCACTATTAGAGAGGTGAACGAGGCCGCTTAAAGAGCTTACTTCCTGGGACCAGCGGATGGCATAATAGTTAACGTGCTGGCTCCCACGTATTAACTGCGGTTCTGGCCGGACCTGGCCGCCTGAAACTAAGCGGGGCGTGTGTGTATGCGACCCCAAAATCCCCAGAGGAGAACGGAGAAGGGATTGCAGTGTGGCCATCTCCCCTGGGGGTTTCCTCCCTCCGGGGCAAGTGCACACACCCTATAGCAAAATTCTCGGGGTGGTGCGGCCTTACTTTCTAACTGTGGTCAGTTGTGTGAGACTTCCTTGTCAGTAAATAAGTAGATGTAAATAAAGGAGATAGAGATAGTAACAAATGCCATGAAGTAAATAAATAGGTCCCAAACAGGTACTGTTGAAGGGAAGGGCAGAGGCTGCTTTAAATAAAGTGTATCTCTGATGAAAAAGAGCAAACTGTAGAAGATACATATATATCATTAATGAATCCTAGGCAGGTCCTGAGCTACACACTCTATAAATTATCCCATTTATAGCACCCTATGAAGTAGATACTGTTATTATTTCTATTGTGCAGGAGAGGATAACTGAGACTTAAAGTAACTACAAAGTTGCATGCTAGAGGTAAAGCCAGATCTATTTTAAAATTGCCAGAGGTCGCGAACACTCACCAGAGAGAGGAAGAGGAAGAAAATACTTCCCAGTCGGGCTTCCCAGTCGGGCACGGTCATGCTGCAATCTCTTCTCCATCTCTCCTGTCCAGATTTTGGGTACATGTGCACACATGCCTGGCTTGTTTCTCAGGCCACCAGGCTGGATTCCAACTGTGGTCAGCTGTGGGAGATCTGTCTCCTTTAGTCACTGGGCCATGGGGTTGACTCAGTAAACCACATTTTAAGCCAGGACTCTAAAACCCTGTGTTCATTCCAATTGCACATACCCTGTGATTACTTATTTTTTGTCAGCCTTTTTCGTTAGCTGAATGTACTTCAGGTATGAGAACCATAGTGGCCTCATATATGTCTGGGCCTTTGCACACAACATAGAAGGTGCCTCAATTATTTGGTGAATGGATGAATATTTGAATGAGGCCACGTTGTTAGGAAATGCCAGACATCTTCTAAAAAATAGAACTAGGGGGACCAGCAGATGGTGTAATGGTTTCATCATTGGACTCCCACATGGCTAACCGTGGTTCAAATCCTGGGTTGGGTGGTTTGAAACTTAGACCAGGTACAAGTATGTGCATGCCCAAAATCCCAAGGGGAGAATAGAGAAGGGATTATGGTATGACCATCCCACCCCAGGGTGATTTCTCGTTTTCTGTCTCTCTAGCTCTCTGATGAGTGCACACATTCTATAACAAAAATCTCAAAAAAAAAAAAAAAAAAAAAGGAAACTAGAGGGCCAGGAGTTAGTATAGTGGTTATGTCACTGGACTCCCACATGGCCAACTGCGGTTCCGATCCTGAACCCAGTGGCTTTAAAATCACAGCGGGTGCACTCAAAAGCCCAAGGTTGTATCCCAGTGGGGATGGCTCCTACCAGCTACCAGCAAGATGTCACTGAACAGGGAACTGGAAGAGCTGCACGGTAGCACCAGTATGTAGTATTTCCACCAGACGTGTGAACATAGGCAACAGTGCTCAAAATACTGAAAGGGCGGAGAAATGGAGAAGGGATTGCCGTGTGGCCATCTCCCATGGGAGAGATGCTTTCTCAACAGCCCTCCCCTCCCATGTCTCTCTCTGGTGAGTGCACATGCCCTTTGGCAAGTTGGAAAAAAACAGACAATAGAAAAAGTAGGGTTTTTTTTTGTTTTGTTTTGAGAGTTTTCTATAGGGCACATGTGCTTGCCAAAAAGAAGAGACAGAGACAAAAAGCGGGAAATCACCCCCAAGGGAATGGCCACACCGCAGTCCCCTTTCCTCTATTCTCCTCTCAGGATACTGTGCACACATGCGCCCGGTGTGAGTTTAAGCCACTGTGTCTAGGACTCGAACTGCAGTCAACTACATGGGAGTCCAGCCACATAGCCATTATGCTATCTGCTGGTCCCTAGAAAAAGCAATTTTAGCAAGTTAGGAAGTTATGAATACGTATTACCTTTTTTTTTTCTTTAAAGAATTATTTATTTAATTTTATTTATTCACTTATTTTAATTTGACCAGAGAGAGAGAGAGCACGAGCTAGCAAGCCACCAGGTCTGGGACTCGAACCATGGTCAGCCATATGGGAGTGTTCAACGCCTTAATCACCACGCCACTTGCTGGTCCCCATATTACCTTTTTTTTAAAAATTGTAACTTCTTATCAATTATTGTTTAATCATAAATTTAATTTTTGAAAGTGGCTCTTTAACAAGCAGCTTGCATAATTCCTCAACATTTAGTAGTTAGTTTTCTTGAACCCGAAAGAGCCAGCTCCAGCGCTCAGCGCTGTGCTATCCTGTCCTTCCCCTCCTCTAGTTAATAGTGCGTGGGTCACTCCTTTTCTCCTCTGGAGGGGAGTACTGGTCTGCCCCACTGACATTTGCTCTCTTCCCCTCCTCTCCCTGTCTTGCCACTACAGGCTTACCACTCTTCTCTCATGGACCCCGACACCAAACTCGTTGGAAACATGGCACTGTTACCTATCAGAAGTCAGTTCAAAGGACCTGCCCCTAGAGAGAGTAAGTCTGAACCCATTATTTTCAAGTTTTGGTATGAAACCCTCTGTCATTTTTGAATCAGGAAGTTCTTAGTTCAGTCCTCTTTGTCAGTCGCTCATGTACTTTGTTTGCTTGGCAGGTTTTGTGTTGTATACTTTTCAAGATCATGGTTATATGTTGCATTTCATAGGAAACTGTATTATTGCTCTTAATCTCTCCAGGGTGATTTTGTCCAGAGGAAAGAGAAAATGTGCTTAATTTTGAACCCTGTTTTCCATAACTACTGTCAGTTCTTTCAGACTGTTCTAATGTTGTTATCTCCATGTAGTGCCATGTCCCTTTCTTTTCTCGGTCATTAGGCTGGAAAAGGAATATGTTGGGCTGGCTCCATAGCACAGTGGTTGAGTGCTGTGCATGGGGAACCAGATCCCACATGGCCAACCACGGTTCAAGTCCCAGTGCCGGCAGCTTGAAAGGCAAGCTGAGCATGGGTACCTATGTTTCCATCTTGTAAGGAAGAAATGGAGGAATAAGAATTTTAGTGTGACCACACACAGTTGTGGGGTGTTCTGTCTTTCTCTCTGGCAAGTGCAAGTGCTCTCTGGTAATAAATGAAACAAACCAACCAACAAAATATTTTAACCTGGGACCAGCAGATGGCGGAATGGTTATGTCACTGGACTCCCACATAGTCGACTATGGTTCAAGTCCTGGACCCCGCGGCTTAAAACTCAATGGCAGACATGTGTGTGTGCCCAATATCCCAGGAGGAGAATGGAGAAGGGATTGAGGCATGGCCATCCCTCTGAGGGGTGATTTCTCGCTTTCTGTCTCTGTCTCTCTGGTGAACGCATATGCCCTATAGCAAAAATTTCTCTTTAGAGGAACCAGCAGTTAGCGTAATGGCTGTGTCGCTGGACTCCCACGTAGTCGACCGCGGTTCACGTCCCGGACCCGGTGGCTTAAAACTCACGCTGGGTGCATATGTGTGCGTGCCCAGGATGCTGAGAGGAAAATGGAGGAGAAGGGATTGTGGTGTGGCCATGCCCTCTGGGGGATGATTTCTCGCTTTCTGTCTCTCTGTCTCTCTCTGCCTGGCGAGCACACGCGCCCTATAACAAAAACCTCTCAAAAAAAAAATCTCTCTTTAAAAAAAAATACACACACACATACACATATATATATATTTTAACCTATTCTCCATCTAAATTTTTGTTCTCTAGGATCTTCATTTTTAGCAGCTCCTCAATCCCAAATCTTAGGTGCCCTATGTAACAGTATTCATTTCTACTTTTTAAAAGTTTATTTTGGAGCATGCAAGTGGCGTGGTGGTTAAGGCTGCTGGACTCCCACATGGTCAACCATAGTTGAAGTCCCAAACCTGGCAGCTTGCTTTCTCACTTTCTCTCTCTCTCTCTGTGTGTCTCTCTCTCTCTTCCCTCTCTGATCAAAATTAAGTAAATAAATAAAGTTAAAATAAAATAATTCTTTAAGAAAAAGTTGTTTATTTCAATGAGAGATAAAAAGCAGGAAGGAGACCTCCCCACAGGGTCTTCTTGCTGTGCTCTTCCTCCGGTTGGCCAGGATCACAGGCATGTCAGCATGCCCAGTGTGTACAGACACCTCCAGATGCAAACCCAGGACCTTCCTGTGTGGCGTCAGTATCATGGAATAGCCTGTCCCTGCTGTGCGGCTACAGCTGGCCTGCTCGTTTCTCTTCTTTTCCGAATTTTATTTCTTTGCTTGCTTTCTTCATTCTCTCTCTCTTTTGTGGGGAAGGTACTCTGCTTTATGGAAACGTTTTGAGTGTTCAGAGAGCCCCGTTCTTTTACAGACACTTTGGAATTCTGACACATTCTGAGATGTTCTGCCAAAGGTGTAATTTGTACAATATTAGACATGGCTCCCCTCATCCAGCAAGGAGTTGGCCTGAGGTCCATTCATACTTCCCAAGACCACAGTTACAATTACCAATTTTGTACTGATCCCATCTCCATTCCTCCACCATATTGTTTGACTTGACCTCTTAATTTTGTTTTCAACACCAGTTGAAAGCTCAGTAAACATAATTAATCTAGTGAGTCACCATGTCCTTTCCATGATTCTGAGAAAAAGGAACAGATGGAAACAGACAGATCCAAAAAGAAGAAAAATAATACAGAAGAATTATAGTGCAAAGAAAGAGTCATTGTTGGCCCAGATTATTCGAGAAGAACCTTTTTCAGATGATTATAAATACCAGAGTATATCAGAAGATAAACTTGACCAATGGTGGGATCAGTCTCATTAGCGCCTTTGCAATTCTTGGGCCCCTTAGAAGAACAAGATTCTCAGAAAGGAGATCTTCAGAAAGGTTTCTGTAGATGAGGAATTACTTTGTTACTTCTCCTCAGGGGAATGAATTAGAAGTGGAGTGGAAGCATAACTGAGCATCAGTCAAATTAATTCACTTATAGTCAATACCTATCTTTTTTTAGAATTTTTAAAATTTTATTATTTTTATTTTCCAGTTTGATCAGACAGAGAAAGAGGGAAAGTGAGAAGGCAAGCCAGCAGGCCCAGGACTTGAACCGTATTTGGCCATGTGGTAGTCTAGTGCCTTTAACCACCACGCCACCTCCTGGGCCCCAACACATACCTTTTGAATGCCTTATGACGATGATGATGATGATGATGATGATGATGATGATGATAATGATGAGAGATTTTTCGCTATTGGGTATGTGTACTCCAGAGAGAGACAGAAAGCAAGAAATCACTCTCTGGGAGGATGGCCATACTGCAGTCCCTTCTCTCGTGATTTTGGGCACACATGCACATGTGTCCGGAGTGAGGTTTAGACACAGGGTCTGGGACTTGAACCGTGGTTGATTATGTGGGAATCCAGTGATGTAACCATTATACCACCTGCTGGCCCCTTGAACACCTTTTATGTGCCAGACAAATCTAGACTCTGAATCCTGTTGTGGTTTACCTCTCATTGCATTTAGAAGAAGTGTTTATTTTTTTTTTATTTTTAATTATTTATTTAACTTTATTCATTCATTTATTTAAATTTTTTAGATTTATTTATCTTATTTTAATTTGACTAGAGAGAGAGAGACAGAGAGAGAAAGAAAGCAAGCCGCCAGATCCAGGACTCAAACTGTGGTCAGCCATGTGGGAGTGTCCAGTGCCTTAACCACCATACCACCTGCTGGTCCCTCATTCATTTATTTTTAATTTGACCAGACACACACACATATACACACACACACACACAGAAGGTGAGAAAGCAAGCCACCAGGTGTAGGACTCAAACCATGGTCAGCTATGTGGGAATATCCAGCACCTTAACTACCATGCCACCCGCTGGTCCCTGAAGTAGTTGGTTTTGTAAACACTATTGAAACCTTGAAAGAAGTTTCCTTTCTGTAGTAAAAAAATAGATGTTAAGAACACAAGGGTAGACATAGAAATCTGCTGAGATTCTGAAGAAGCAGGGGAATGAGCGGAGGTGAAGATGGCTGAACTGTAAAATACTAAGGCTTCAGGATTACTCTGCATTGCTGCCAAATGAGGGATAGCAATCGTGGACAAGAAATATAAATATCTCGGCATTGTTGGAACCAGCTGCCGGATATCAAGACCCTGGGATTTTGACCTTTTTAAAGCAAAAAAAAAGAAAAGGAACATAAAAATTGCCAAAGAAATTATGTAATGAGATCTGTCTTTGTCAACTGTATTTCTGGCTTTTCTCGACCTCTAGCCACCTAGAACAGCTTGTACAAGTGTATTTCAAGTCACAGTTTTCATAAAAAGAAAGATGTGTATTGAACCCCAGCATGTTCCTAAATAATTGAGAGTTTTTCTCTGAAACCATAGTTTGTAAATTCAAATGAGACAATATTTGGGACCAGCAGATGGCATAATAGTTATGTCTCTGCACTCCCATGTAGTCGACCATGGTTTGAGTCCAGGACTCAGTGGCTTAAAACTCATGCTGGGCGCATGTGCATGTGTGCCCAAGATCCCCAGAAGAGAATGGAGGAGAAGGGATTGCAGCATGGCTGTCCCCCCAGCGGGTGACTTCTCATTTTCTGTCTCTCCAGTGAGCACACGTGCCCTACAGCAAAAATCTCTCTCTCTCAAATTACAAAAAAAAAAAAAAAAAGAACCAATCTTTAATATCTTTTATTTTTAAAAATGTGTTCTATTATAGATAGTCTACATCTGAGTCTTTTTTTTTTTTAAATGAAAGTACATGCAAGAGGGAGAAAGCACCCTAAAGAGGGTCCTGTCACACCCTGATCCTGTTTTCCCAGGATCTTGGGTCCCCCTGCACATGCTCAGTGTGTTTTTAGTCCAACCCAGGGATCCAAACCCACAGTCAGCCATGAGCCACCAAGGCCAGGTCTTCTTAGTCTTCTGTTGTTGTTTTGTTTTTAATTGCTAGAAAACGTGCACTCACCAGAGAGAGGGAAAAAGAGACAGAAGCACCCCACAATGGAATATGGTCATGCCACAATCCTCTTTCCTCCACTTATCTTGTCATGTCTGGGTGTTCACACACATGACACCAGTATGTTTTTCAGGCTGCTAGCCACCAGAATTTGAACTGTGATCAGTTGTATGGGATCCAGCTTTCAGTACACAGTGCCTAACCACTGGGTTGGGGCCAGCCCATCTGAGTCTTCTTTTTTTTTTTTAAAGAATTATTTTGTTTAACTTTATTTCATTTATTTTACTTATTTATTTTAATTTGACCAGAAAGGTACAGAGAGAGAGAGAAAGCAAGCCACCAGGTCTGGGACTCGAACCGCGGTCAACCATGTGGAAGTTCAGCACCATTATCCACCACACCACCTGCCAGCCCCCTGAGTCTTCTTTTATAAATGTATTCAAAGAGGTCTTTAATGAAGTTCACTAAATGTTAATAGTAGTTATTTCTGGGTAGTGGGATTTAGGATGAAAATTTAATTTTTTTTCTGTATTGATTAGATTTCTTTTTCTAATGAGCATGTATAATTTTGACAAAAATGAAATAATGCTGTAAGAGTAAATCACATACTGGTTTTTATTTATAAATTGTTTTTAAGTCTGCATTTCAGTAGTCTCATTTTATCCAATTCCAAACTCTTCAGATGAAATTGGATCTTTTTTTTTTTTTTTTTTTTTTTTGTAATTATCATATTTTGCATTTGGCTAATATTCTCTACCCTCCTTCCCCTTTCTGTGTTTCCTGTGTAGCAAAAGATACAGATATTGTGGATGAAGCCATCTATTACTTCAAGGCCAATGTCTTCTTCAAAAACTATGAAATTAAGGTAAATTATAGCATTCTTAATTTTTAACTTAGTTTTCTGATGGAAATAATATCTACCATCTAGTCACAGTTGCTGTGAGAATGAATAAAATGTAATGAGGCTGTGATTTTTAAATTCCAGAACAGTGCTTAATGTTAGACTCAGTATAAATATAAATTTCTTTTTCTCCACAGTTTACACCAGGGCTTGGCAAACTATAGCCTTAGAGCCAAAGTTTTATTGGAACACAGTCTTGCCCAGGTGTTTTTATATTGAGAATGTATGCTTTCACCTCACCACAGCAGAATTAAGTAGTTGTGATAAAGTTTGTGCCGCAAAGCTTACTATATTTGCTATCTGGCCCTTCACAGAGGAAGTTTGCCACCCCCCGGTCTAGATACATCTTTATTTATTCAGCATTAGTTAAGCACCTAATGTGTACCAGCCCTATATTTTTGTGCAGGACTAGTTAGTCTACAGCCAAGAAACCCCCACATGCTGTTTGTGTTTTTGTTTTTCTTTACGAGAGAGTGTGTGCACTCGCTGGAGAGAGAAAGAGAGAGAGATCCCCCTGGAGAATGGTCACACCACAATCCCTTTTCCATCTCAACCACCTTTTGGGATTTTAGACAGGCATGCACAGGAGCTCATTGTGTTTCTCAAACTGCTGGGTCCAGGACTTCAACCGTGTACTTGTCTATGTGGGATTCAGATGTCTTAACCACTATGCCATGGGCTTGCCAGCTGATTTTTTTTTTTTTTTTTTTTTAATATACTTCTGTGTCCTAGCTCCGGATAGAGCTTCAAAGAAACTGGAATGACCCTTCCCTATACCATCTTCCCTATTCTACCTTTTCTACCTTTCTGCTCTTAGTTCCTATAGGAGAGTGGAAGATTTCTGAGCCTGTGCTATGAGCAAGTAATAAGGATTTTTTTTTTTTGGAGAGATTTTTGCTATAGGGCGCATGCGCTCACCAGACAGAGAGATACATAGAGACAGAAAGTGAGAAATCACGCCCCCAGAGGGGATGGTCACGCCACAATCCCTTCTCCTCTCGGGATCTTGGGTACGCACGCACATGTGCCCGGCGTGAGTTTTAAGCCACTGGGTCCGGGACGTGAACCGCGGTCGACTACATGGGAGTCCAGCGATATAGCCATTACGCTAACTGCTGGTTCCCAGCAAGTTATAAGGATTATCAGCAGATTTTCTAGAGAATATTCTAAAATATGGAACTTCAATCTCTCTTTGCCAAATTTTTAACATTTTGGAGTCAAATAGGGAATGAAATCTTTATTTGTAAACTCTCAGATCTTCAAATTGTAATCTAAACAGCTGTGATGTTAATAGTGTTTTCTAGGGTCTGGCAGGTGGTATGGTGGTTGAGGCACTGGATCCCCACATAGCAGACCACGGTTCGATTCCTGAACCTGGCAGCTTGCTGTCTCACTTTCCCTTTCTCTCTGGTCAAATTGAAAAATAATAATAATAAATTAAATTAAATAATTCTTTAAAAATGTTATTTTCTAAATGTAATATGTGGTCTAAGTGTTGTGTTTGTAATAGATGTAAATAACTATCAATATTATAATTCTGCCACATGGAGCCAGCAGGTGGCATGGTGGTTAAGGTGCTGGACTCCCACATGGCTGACCATGGTTTCAGTCCTGGACCTGGCAGCTTGTTTTCTCTCTCCCTCTGTCTTTGTCTCTTTCGGGTGAATGAGTGTGTGCTATAGCAGATTAAAAAATAATAAAAATAATTTTAAATAATAATTCTACCACATTTTATTCTTTCCTGAATATCATATTGCTGTAAAAATAGGGAAATGTGTGGTTTGGGTTTTTTGTTTTTTGTTTTTTTCCAACTATAAGTCTAGTAAAATTTAACCAGAAGTACATGCCCCTTTTGATGAACATCTTTGTCTTCTCCACATTTTTCTTTTGGTTAGGCAGGTGGGACTCTTCAAGAGCAAGTCACATGTCAAATATGGCTTCCTCCTTTAGAGTAATGAATTCTCCTTAGCAGAGATCCTAAAGTGAAAGGATTTTTAAAAATGAGCCAACCATATGTTGCACTTCAGGCTTTTTAGGCAGCTTTGTTAATTCCCCTCTTACCCAGAGTGAAAGGCTGCTTGCACAGGGACAAGGGGAGCTACAAAGGTCAGGGTGGAAGCTGGTGGCTCCCTCCCAGGAGCAGACAGAAAAAGAGCTTCAGCTGACTGTGCATTGCAGATTAGGGGTTTCTGAAGCTATGGTAGCCCTCCTCCAGGGTTGTCAGAAAAGTCACGATGCATCTTTGCATAGAAAAACAGAAAAATACATCATGACTTTTCCAGCAACCCAGTATCACCGTTTCAAGATCCTCAAAAGACAAAGATTGAGTTCATTCATTGTTTGTGATTGTTGTATTTTGATGAAGACTGTTTTTGTTTTCCCCACCTGCAGAATGAAGCTGATAGGACCTTAATATATATAACTCTCTACATTTCTGAGTGTCTGAAGAAACTCCAAAAGGTAATTAAACTTGGATGATTATATAATCAGGAAAACAGGGCCAAGTGTATTAACACGGTGGTTAATACACTGGACTCCCACCTGACTGACTGCACTTTGAGTTCCAAACTATAAAATAATTCTTTTAAAAAAAAAAAAAGAAAAAGAAAACAGGGCTGGCAGGTGGTGTGGTAGTTAAGGGCGCTGGACTCTCTATGGCTGACCAGAGTTCAAGCCTCAGACCTGGTGGTTTGCTTTCTTTCTCTCTCTCACTCGCTCTGTCCCTATAAATAAATAAATAAAAGTTAAATAAAATAATTCTTTAAAACAAAACAAAACAAAATCATACTACACATGTGTGCATGCGTGCCCAATATCCCAAGAGGAGAATGGAGGAGAAGGGATTACACTGTGGCCATTCCACTCTGGAGGGGTGAATTCTTACTTTCCTTCTCTCTGTCTCTCTCCAGCAAGCACATGCACCCTATGGCAAAAACCTAATGTGTGTGTGTGTATGTATATGGGTGTGTGTGTATATATACACATATGTGTGTGTGTGTATAAGGGGAGGAAAGTCATGTATTTTCTCTCTTTTTTTAATGCAAAAATGTGTCATGACTTTCCTGTCAGATATGTGTGTGTGTGTTAATTTTTTTTCTTTTGGAGAGATTTTTGCTATAGGGTATGTACACTTGCCAGAAAGACAGAGAGAGAGAAAGAGACAGAAAGCAAGAAATCACCCCCCAGGGAGGATGGCCATGCTGCAGTCCCTTCTCCTCTATTCTCCTCTCAGGATCTTGGGCACGCACGCACATGCGCCCAGCATGAGTTTAAGTCACCGGGTCTGGGACTTGAACCACGGTCGACTTCGTGGGAGTCCAGCAATGTAGCTATTATGCCATCTGCTGATCCCATGTGTGTGTGTTTGTATATGAAACAAAATTCCTGGTAAGTATTTACCCTTCTGGCCATCTAGATTTATTGAGACCTTCAGTAGGAAATATTTCCTTGAACTTAGAGCATAGATTTACAAGGAAAATTAGAACGTGGTTCTCTGAACTCAAAATGCAGTTGCTTAACGTGAAGACAAGGATCGTAGTGGTGGTGTTTGTTCGTTTTGTTGTTTCTATTTTTAATTTTCCAGAGGGCCCCTAGGAGAGAGACAGAGAGAGGAAAAATGAGAAAGTACGCCCTTTGGTACGTGGTCACGCGGCAATCTCTTCTCCTCCATTTCTTCCTCCTTTTGGGATTTTGTTTCCACACACGTGCACATGCTCAGCTTGTTTCTCAAGCCACCAGGTCCAGGACTCAAACCACACAGTTGGCTTATGGGATCCAGTCTGTTTTTTGTTTGTTCGTTTGTTTTTTTTTATTAGAGGGAGTCAGGCAACAGACACCACTGACTATGTCTCACCAAGCCACAGTCCTCCCTGCAGCTGCTCAGCCAGCGAGGATCACAAGTATGTTATGTGCACTCCAGGCCCGATCAGGTCAACCAGGATGCAAACCTGAGCCTCCCATGTGGGTCCAACATCTCATTGTGCCATCCTGCCACCTACACCACTGGGTCTGTGCCAGGGCTTTGCATGCGTTTTTCTCAAAACAAGTCTTGACCGAGAACTTCCTTTTAATCCCTTGTCTTAGGGTTCATAACCTGGGGTCCAAGGATAGAATTTGAGGGTCCATGAACTTGAACAGGAAAAAAAATGACACTTTTCTTTCCAATAACCTCTAACAAAACTTAGCATTTACTTAAATTATTTAAATCAGCAGCAACACATTGTAGTAGTAATAATACCCTGAATTTTTCTCTCATCAAATACACGGTATTTTCATATTATGTTAGAGTGGAAGAAATTTCGAAATCTTGTTTATATTCATGATTACTTCAAACTTTAGTTAGTAACCACATTGCTAGATCTTATTTGCTACATTAAAGAACGCATATTGACTATTGTCATAGATTTAGTTTTTAATATTTTAGTTATATTTTATTATAATTGGTATATCTTATAATGCTATTTATTTTACTGTATTTATTTGAAACACCGTTCTGAGAAGGAGCCCATGAACTTTACCTGATTATAAAAGCGTACCAAATAAAGATACCCTAGCTTTATCACTTAGACTGAACGTTGCAATTGAGATATATTTATCCTTTTTCCTATAAGATATGTATATATGTAATTTATTTTTTATTTTTTAGTGCAATTCCAAAAGCCAAGGCGAGAAAGAAATGTATACACTGGGAATTACTAATTTTCCCATTCCTGGAGAGCCCGGTTTTCCACTTAATGCAATTTATGCCAAACCTGCAAACAAACAGGAAGATGGTAAGAACAGGGTTTGTGTCCTCACTCTCTTTCTTCTCTCTGTGCATGAGTTCTCTCCATTTGATCTCTACTGCTTCCTTGTCTTGCCTTGATTGGTATACAGATTGAGAGCGGGATCGCTAGCCATACATTATCTTACCAGTCATTTTCACAGATTCTTGGCGACAAGTATGACATGTAGAGAATCCTTTGAACCAAAATGAATATGGTTATAAAACCACTTAGACCGTCATTTCTATTTATCCTGATCAAATGTGTAAAACAATGTATTGCCAGTGTCAGTGTCCAGACCAGCATCCAGCACACTCAGGATATATTCTCAAAGACGATTTCTTGGGAACCAGCAGTTAGCGTAATGGCTATGTCGCTGGACTCCCACGTAGTCGACCGCGGTTCGTGTCCCGGACCCGGTGGCTTAAAACTCACGCCGGGCGCGTGTGCGTGCGTGCCCAAGGTCCCGAGAGGAGAATGGAGGAGAAGGGATTGCGGCGTGACCATCCCCCCTGGGGGGTGATTTCTTGCTTTCTGTCTCTATGTCTCTCTCTGTCTGTCTGGCGAGCGCACGCGCCCTACAGTGAAAATCTCTCCAAAAAAAAAAAAAAAAAAAAAAGACGATTTCTTTATTGTTCTGTTTTAGAAGTGATGAGAGCATACTTACAGCAGCTCAGGCAAGAGACCGGGCTGAGACTTTGTGAGAAAGTTTTCGACCCTCAGAATGATAAACCTAGTAAGGTAAGACCCTCTTCTTTGTCTGTTTTATTGGTAAATCACCTATGATTTTTATAGGCAACATCAAACACTCTTAAGACCTTTGTTCTAAGAATAGGTTTAGTTTCAGGACCAGCAGGTGGCGTGGTGGTTAAGGTGCTGGACACTCCCACATGGCCAACCACAGTTCAAGTCCTGGACCTGGTGGCTTGCTTTCTCACTTTTTCTCTCTCTCTCTCTCTTTGCTTCTCTCTGGTCGA